AACCGGAAAACAAAGTAACCAAACTGGTTAACCCGCATGCCTACTTTGCGTTGAATGTTAACCGTAACTTCAATCAATTTCTTGGGTTTCAAAATATTTCTGAAGCTATCGGAAAAGATCCACCCAATAATCCAAACACATGAGGAAATGTTATTATTTATAAAACAGAGGAGATCCGTTACAACCATGTATAACTCAAGAAGCTCTGTAAGACAGCAGTTCACGGTTTTATTACACGGTCAGTCATATACTTTGACCTTTTTGTACATTTCTTTACACTTCAGAAGCATCCTCAAAAACCGGCTAAGTTGAAGATAGATTGGAAAGCTGGTTTCGGTTTCTCTGGAAACTGATGGCTAGGAGTTGTAGGTGCAAAGTGAGAATAGTTCTGGCTCGTAAACAACTTCTCCGCCATTTTACTTCCAAGACCAAAGCTCAGCCTCGTCGCTACCGTGTTGAGGTTGCTCAGCATGTTATCTTGCCCTATAAACCCAAACAAACAGTTTTGTCTTTTAAAGTGAGGCACAAACTAAGAATTGTAAAAATAAGTAAAAAACCCTTTTTAACTGACCTGCAAGGAACGTTCTGTTGCTGTTTGACGCATGAATACCAAACCCTACAGCGACGAAGTTTTGATCCTGTGAGAGTATAGCGAATGGATGACCTGCCGGAAGGATAAAAACTTCTCCTTTACACACGCGTGACACAATCTTGTGTACTTGTCCACCCATCTCTTCTTCTGTTTCCTCTTCTTGTCCTGGACCAAACCAGGGCTGTTGTTGTTGGTCTCCTTGGAATGTATAAGGACTAGCCATCTCGAAACGAGCGCAACCATTCTCAACAAACGTTACAAAAGTTGTTTCTGAATTAAATTGAGGAAGGAACAAGGACCCCTACATATTTAACACAAACCCAATTTTTAGATTAGTGATTGATCCATCAAAACCACGGAACTATATAAAGATTATTGAGTGTAAACCTGTGTCATGTTAACCCAACCAACGGCGATGCCAAGGTCTTGGAGTTGACTAAACCTTTTAGGATGTGCCTCGTGGTAATGACCAAATTTGTTGGAGTATATTGCATCCTGTGTAAGGAGATTGAAAGGGCTCATAAATGTGCTCCTGTCTTTGTGCTTGTCTTTTTTGTCTTTATCTTTGTTTGAAGGAGAAGTAGCGTGTTTGGTAAGTTCCTTGATCTGGTCTGGGGATACTCTACGCATAATCCCTTGTCCTTGTTGTGGTCCCCTAATCAATCCTCCTAGCAATTCTTCCGGTACCTATAGATCAAATAATACAAAACTTGTTACAATAAACACTATCTTAGACACGTATACATATGTTTATTATAACTTATTAAAAGATGAAATGAAGTTAAGAGGCATACGTTGAAACTGGCCGTTAGTACATCTTTACTAAACCCAGTGAAATAGGATTGGTGAAATTGGGAATGAGCAGGGAAGAAAACCTGAAAAAAAACTATCGAGGTTATAACATATTAAAATTAATTAAGTCCAAAAATAGAAAATAATATGTAACAAAATTAAAGAATGGACCTGGAAGTGTCCCGGAACATTGGCGGGGACAGCGATCTTGGCGAGACGGAGAGGAACTGTGCTGTTGGTGTTCGCGAAAAAGTGTGTAACGGTGGAAGGAACTCTCACCACATCACCTTTCGTTATTTGAAATGATTCACTTGCCGTATCCTTCACGAAACCAATCAGTCCCTTCCCTGATATATGATTTTTAAACAAACTAAAGTTATTTTTAGTAACTTACTAGAAGTGTATTAACACTTTAAAGCCTTAGGTTAGAAATAGAGATTAATAACCTTGTACGACTATAAACACGTAATCGGCATCTAAATGGTGAGGAACAAGGAAAGTGTTAGGTTCCATCTCCTGGAACAAGAAGCGGTAGTTTTCTATCCCACGGAAGAGAGTCGAAGAACGTTTAGTGAACTTGGGCAACATTTTCACAAAACCTTCTTGTGATTGAAAGAAGTTCTTGAAACTCTGCTGTCCGAAGTGGTATGGATTGGTTGCCTCTTCATCCCATCCCTCGCTGGAGCCCCCACCGGGACCTTGTTGTCCCTCTTGTTGTGGTGGTTCGAACTCTTGGACCTCCACACGGAAGGCCAAGCAGTGTGAAAAAGCTAAGGATATGAGAAGGAAAAGTGTTATCGTTAATTTGTTGATCGCCATTTTTTAGTTGTTGATGTAAGAAAAAGAAGGGTGGTTATAGTTTATATAGGAAATAGAGATTGACATGCATGGCGACGAGTGTTCTTATACACCAAAACAACGATTGAGCACATTCAAACGATTATCCACAACTTTTTAAGAAAAAGTTGGAAAACATTTAATAAATCTAGAAGTTTTTAAAGCGTTGCAAGTGCTTAATTAATATATACCAAAACGGATATCCTTCTAGTTTTTGGTTTGGATGGTCGAAACATTTAAGATGATAATTATATTTACTTCACATTTTCCTTTTAATAATTATGTGTTCATCAAGTATTATTAATTGTGTTTGATAAAAATGTGTTCCCAAGTAAATACTCCCTCTGTTTCATTATAAGTGTCACTCTACAGCTGTGCACACGGATTAAGAAAATAATTAATTTTACATATTTACTATATAAAAACACAGTTACTCATACACCTAACCATATTTTAACCAATAGAAAAACAAATTACATAATAAAATTAATAAATTTTGCATTGAAAACCGAAAACGACACTTATTTTGTAACGCAAAAAATTCTCTACAACGACACTTAATATGAAACGGAGGGAGTATAAGAAATGTTTAGAAAAATACAAACATTTAAAGATATGGTTGACACTTGGGTGGAATTTGGTACGGATAAGTACCAAAAGTGGATCCTGATTCTCTATGATGTTACTACGTGTCTTTCCCAAGGTTTTGTTCCACTTCGAATTGCATGACTAAGACACTTGAATTTTTTGATAAAAAAAAAAGACAACATTTTATTTTATCTTATTTTATCTTCGAGTGTGTGCGTTATACTTTTTACGATAATATGATTAGTGTTGATAAAAGTAGAAAATGTTATTTTATTTCGGGGTTTAGGATCAAAGCTACTTTGGAATAGATTTCTCTATTGTACGACTATAAGCCCGATCCAAGAAATAATATTCATCCTAAGTTTGGATTTCTCGACAGAAACATTAAAACTCGAATGTACTCTTCCATTTGCATGCGGTGTATTAGATACAGCATCCGTTGTCAAGTTTTAAAGGAGATAAACTTTCTTAGACTTCAGATACATTCTCAAAAACCGGCTAAGTTTTTTTTTTTTGAACTTAGCTTTCGTATTAAATGCAAAAAAGAAAGAAAAAGATACAAGCCATAAGCCAAGGTTTGTTTTTAAGGAGCCCATAAGCCCAGTTTAGAGGACACACATTAAGAAAAAAGAAAAAGGAACCAGAAGCCCAATAACAGATTTGTGAGTGGAGAGGAAGAGTTTGTGTTCTACTTCGTTCGTAACGAAGAGAGTTTCGGATCGTCAATTCAGCCACTGCTGCATCAGTCTAGAGGAGCCCGAGGGGTTGGAATCACGAAGAGACAATATCCTATCTTTGATCTGTCGATCTAGCCGGCGAGTAATAGAATCAGGGGAGCAAAAAATTTGCCTGTGAATCCTAGCATTCCTCTCTGCCCAAATCCAATAGATACAAGCTTGCCAGCAAATCCTAGTGAGAATACCTTTTGTGGAGTTTCTACCTATCGCTTGGATTTGCGCCATAACTCTGTCCCAGCTACTCTCTGGAATTAATCCACATCTTAAAGCAAACGGTGCCCATATACTCCACGAGAAGGAGCACGAGAAGAAGATGTGGTTCCTACTTTCATCAATTAAATTACAAAGCACGCAAGTTTGATCGGTGGAAAGTCCCCAACTAGTGATCCTGTCCTTTGTAGGACATCTATTCAGCACAAACAACCATGATAGAAAGCTGTGTCTGGGAATCCCGAACTTGTTCCAGACCAGATCATACCAAGGTACAGAGATTCCTTCATCACAAAGCTTCCCATAAACTTGGCCAATACTGTATTTTTTATAACTTTGCCCATCGATTTCCCAATCATAAAAATCAGCATTGGTGTTCAATTGAATTGTGGTCAAATGAGCGTAGAGATTGATCAGAGCTTCTGATCTTGCAGATAAAAAACCGGCTAAGTTGAAGATTGATTAAAAGGAGGGCTTGGGTTTCTCTAAAAACTGATATGGCTAAGGAGTCGTAGATGCATTCTCCGTCATTTTACTTCCCAGACCAAAGCTCAGCCACGTTGCAACCTTGTTGAGGTTGCTCAGCATATTATCTTGCCCTGTAAACCCAAACAAAAGTTGTCTTTCAGAGCGAGACAGCTAAGATTAAAAACTATTACATAAAAAACTTTTTTGCTCGACCAGCAACTCTGAACGGAACGTTATTGTGCTGTTGGACGCATGAATACCAAACGCTACCGCTACAAAGTTCTTATACTGTGAGAGTATAGCGAACGGATGACCTGCCGGAAGGATAAAAACTTGAGAGACTTACATTGTAAGACACATTGTTGTCTTTTTTGACAACAAAAGACACGTATAGCTTGTGAGACACTTTCTTCTTCTCTCTCTCCATTATGTTCACGATATTAGCCTTGGTTGGAGAAAGATGATGATTTTGACTTTAGTTGTATTTGGGCAAGAAAGTTTATGTCTTTGGAATAATATAGTTATGTTTCCTAATATTGTTACAATCCAATTTTTAAAAATAGTAACAATCCCAAACCTAAATCTAATTACAATATATCAACACCACTACTTCTTTCTTACCATCCACCTTCACCACCTCCAATCCTCACATCTTCCACCCCACTTCCACCACCACCACTTTCTCTCCAGTAGGTAGCTCCACAACCGATGATTCATTCTCACGTTTTTCACCTCTTTATTCATCATCATCTCTTTCACAACTATTACAGTTTCCATTATGGTATCCACGGCCACTTAACACGATCTCCATCTTTTCTCTTCTACATTTTAATATCCATTTATATATACTTTAGTAATATAAATATGAAAAACATTCAAAACACAGAAAAATGAATTTCTCCATCTCAAACTCTGCACCAACCACATACCACGTCTCTTGTGTCCACATCAACCACATCCACACAACTACTGTCCACACCGATCACATCCATACAATCTGTCCACAGCAGCTATACCTGCACCTCACATATCCCCTACAACCACATCCACACATTCCTAAACAACAGACATGTTTCATGACCACCAAACGATAAAAAAACTTTAAGCTTTGATAAAACACAAGCTAACCACATAACTGATAAGAACAATCATCAAACGAACCACAAAAATTAAAATCATCACAAACATAATAATTTTCTAGAATCCCTACTTTAATAGCATTATCAAGAAGAACAAAAATGCAGTTAGCAATTATTACCAATGGATATGATAGTCTCTCCCCAGGAGCAAGAATAGCACCTGGTGGATGCATAAAGCAACTTTTTAGTGCTGTTGTTTGAAACTGAAAAAGAAAGATCAATGAGAGTAAGCACAAATACAAAACGCAAAACACTCTGATACTCAAAAACGCTTAGACAAGAAAAACACACCTTAAACGCTCATGTGATTTACTGGTATTTTTAAATCTTAATAAGGCTCCTCACTTACTTCCTAGGCTTATTTTCAAAGTAAATAATCATATTAAGTACGCAACAAATAAAGAACTAACAATCTGATATATAACCAAACAAAAAATTATTGACCTACATATATATATACACCAAAAGCTTGCTAATATTAAAATACTGAAAAATGAGTTAAAGATTAGTACATTCAAGTCAACGTCAACTCTTCTTCAAAGCTTAGAGACATACGACAAAGCAAATGAACCAAACAAAGATACAGTTAAGTCAATATCATATTTTTTTTATCCAACATCAGATTGAAACTTTAATTTAATGCACAAACAACCCTACGATTCCAATTCAGATGAGATAAACTCACAAGGAAAATATAGTTTCTCTGACGGATCAAGAAGAAGCTCTGTCCAGATGAACAACGTAGCGGTTGTTAGGATGGTAAAGAGCTAAAAGAGTTCTCTGGAGAGATTTCCCGTCTCTTGCGGATCCGGAGATCAAGTAAGCAAATCGAGGAAGAGTGGAGAGGGAGGAGATGGGTTTGGGTTTGATCTTGGACTCGACGAAAGAGGATGGTTTGGATCCGGTTAGAGAAACGGGTCGGGTGAGAGGGAGGAAACGGAGTCCGGTTGTGAATTCGATGAGAGACAAAGATGGGAAGAGACGAAGAGTGAATTCGTCACTTGTGAGGGGATTGAGAATTAAAACGGTGGAGAGGGATACGGATTCATGGTGTCCTTCGTCGGATCGATTAGTTAGGTTTTGTCACTTGGTGGATTTGGGGATCTCGACGAGATGAGAGAGATAGCTTCTGTTGTGATTTTTTATTTTGTTACTTTATTATTTTAATTAGACAGAAGATAAAAGAAGAGTTAGGAGTTAAGGAGGGTTTAAGAGACATTACACCCCAAAAATGTGTGTCTCAAGCAAGTTGTGCTTCTATATGTAATTTAAAAGACAATATGTGTCTTAGAGTGTAAAATTCTCTAAAAACTTCGCCTTTATATATGACATTTAGCTAAGAAGAAAAAAGTTTAATATAGAGATGTTACATTAATTAGTAAAGAGAAAAAAAAATTAATATATGATAAGATGCACTGTTGATATTTTCAAATGTTTGATCTGGATTCTTATTATTTTGATAAATTTTTGTTACCATGTGGTGGTTGGGAGCGGTGGATGATACTCCCTCCGTTTGACTTTAGTTGTCATTTTATATTTTACACACAAATTAAGTAAATATTTAATTTTACATATTTTCAAGATAAAAACACAATTACCTTTATATCTAAGCATTTTTCAACAAATAGAAAAATAAAATATTATATAAAACTAATATATTTTGCTTCGAAACTCTAAAACGACACTTAGTTTGTGACAAAAAAATAAGTTTAGAATGAAAAATATTCTGAAACGGCGAGAGTACCATTTAAAAGAGGTAGCCAAACTGATGTATTAGGCCTAGGCATCCGACTCCTCAGATCAGGTCCGGGTCGGGTATTTCCGGGTCCAGATCATTCGGGTCCTAAGAATTTAGATCAATATAGGTATCTATAATTTTTCGGATTGGTTCTAGACCCGAACCTGCTACTCACGGATCCTCTATATTTATATCCAATAGAATAAAATTTTCAGTTCCGGTTCTAGACCCAAACCTGCATTTTCGGGTCAAGTCTGGGTCGGGTCCTCGGGTCTAGGTAAAATGTCAGACCTATGATGTATGACTGTAATTTTCATATAATGTGTTTAGTTGAAGATTATGTATACCGAATTTAACTATCAATGAACCTTATTCCCAATTTGAATCAAAATGGATTTGAAGCTATTAATATGATTTATTCATAGATTTTTTTTTCTTTAAAGAAACATTATTAACATGATTTATTCATAGATTTCTTTAATCAATGTGGGTTCCCGGACCAGAAGGTCACTCGTGATGATTCATGGAGCTTTGTTTTTTTAAGCAATGTGGTTTTTCTGGATCGCAAGGTCCTTCGTGATGATTCACGAAACCATGTTTGTTTAAGCAAGGTGGCTTTCCCGGATCACAAGGTTCTTTGGGATGATTCACGAAACCATGTTTCTTTAAGCAAGGTGGCTTCCCCACAAGGTCCTTTGGGATGATTCACGAAACCATGTTTCTTTAAGCAAGGTGGCTTCCCCGGATCACAAGGTCCTTCGGAATGATTCACGAAACCATGTTTCTTTAAGCAAGATGGTTTCCCCGGATCACAAGGTACTTCAGGATGATTCACGAAACCATGTTTCTTTAAGCAAGGTGGCTTTCCCGGATCACAAGGTCCTTCGGGATGATTCACGAAACCATGTTTCTTTAAGCAAGGTGGTTTCCCCGGATCACTAGGTCCTTCAGGATGATTCACGAAACCATGTTTTTTTAAGCAAGGTGGCTTTCCTGGATCACTTTGTTATTGTCTAACCTCTCCCTTAATTTGTTAATTCTTTTCTCCATGTTTAGGTTGAATTTAGTGATGATACCGAGGAGATGATGATTAAGAATGATACAGAAAGATTTAAGTCTCGAAAGCAATCAGAGGCTAGTTTTTCCTTTCTTTTTCTTTTAAAGAAAATTTTAGGATCTTGATACAACTATTTATTGACTCCTGATTCTGTGAATATACAGCATTATATTAATTTACTCGAGGCAAAAAAACGGCACTTTGAAACGATGTACTATTTCTATTATAAATAATGGAAGGCCAAGAAGGAGAAGGCCGAGAAATATTAGTAGTATATAGAATAGAGAGAATTAGGCAAATGCCCAAAATAGAAGTTAATATTAGTGGTTTACCCATGATGGAACATTAATGGTTCAAACCATACAATTACGCATGGAACTACCCAAAATGCTCTTCTTTATCTGAAAAATGTCTGCTGGTAACAGAGAAATATCAGGAGAGAGGAGAGAGATATGTTATTTACATGTGTTTGATAGATTTTCTTAAATGCTAAAAATATTATCAAATAATAATATTTTTGGATATATAATATAAACATTAATAGGCTATGAGAGAGAGAGAGAGAGAGAGAGAGATTAATAGGTTCACATGCCTAGGAATGTAAGAGGAGAGAGACAAAAGAACATTTTGGTCAATAAAATAGAATAAATTAAATCATAGGTATTGGCTAATTAGGAGGTGATTTAGGTGCTGCAACAAATAATCTCTATAGAATATATAATTCATATTTTTTTAAAAGAGGCATTATAGTTTTATTGGAAATAGGGCTGTATAACCACCAAAAAAATTATAGCTCAATCCATAGCCAAAAACCTTTCTTTTCGCTGTATCTCATGTCTTTTATATAATGTTTGCTATATGCCCTCTATTATAATTGGTAAAATCTGCAAAAAAAAAAATATTAATAATTATTATATTTTAAAATAATTGTGTCGGTTGGAGAATCACACATCTTCTCATAATAACATTTTCTTCTTCTTTTTGTTTCTTCCTCTCTGATCTCTGTTTTTTACACAACACACTAGCTACAACGTATATATAAACTTCCATCACATAACTTTAATAAGTTCTACATGTACAACCGGCACATACATCATCATTATTTGTCATCATCGTCACAGTATGGTTTTTTCTCCTCTTTCATCATTTGGAGGATCAGTTCTTTATAAATCAGATCATCTAATTCACAATATACTATTTGTATTATTCTATTCCATGTGATGAAAGTAGAATCTAAATATTGATATACAGTAAATAAATATTTGTTAAGTTTTGTTGTTGTATTATTTTTATGAAAAGATTGGTTTATATTTATTAAATGAAATTAAGCATTTGCGAATGATAACATATATATTATGGTTATATTATTGAAAGCCAAATGTAGCTAAAAGGTGTTAAATACTGTGAATTAGTAAAAGCTATACAATGGACTAGTGATAACTATAGTATTTATAAGAGTTTATACTCTTTTTTTATCAATTTTCTATTCCATATTCTTTTTGATATAATGTGAGATGTTATTAATTTATGTATATAAATGGAATGGAACTTTGAGAGTCCATATTATCACTGATACTATGTTATTTATTTGATTTCATTCGGGTTTAGAGTTTATTTTTTTTTAGTGTTTAGGGTTTAGTATTTAAGAGTTGGGTGGGATTAGGATAATGTTTAGTGTATCTAGGGATTAAGATTGGGATATATTTAATATTTAGGGATTGTAGGTGGAATTATAATTTTTTTTTTAAAAAAGTGAAGGATTTATCAAAGAATTTAGGGTTTACAGAAGGGTTTTAAGATTTAGGATTTAGAATTTAGTGTTTTGCTGACGGTATTAAAATATCTTTTTAATTTTTTTTTGTTTGCAACTACTATTATTTTTATTTATTTTATCTTTTAGTTATAAAAACATAATAAAATCATATTGGTCAGTGAACCTAGAGGTTCACCCTAAAAGATGAACCTAAGAATTTTTTTATGTTCTTCTATTGGCCACGCTATTCCCTCCAATTTTTATCTGGTATCTATAGAGAAATTCTTAGGTTCATTTTAGGATGAATCTCTAGTTTCAATAACCAATAAGATTTTATTATTTTATATTTAGTATCTTTTAAAAAAAAAAATAAAACATTGTCCAGTTATTTATATTTTAAAATTTTAAAGATAAAAAATAATAATAATAGTAGTTGTAAACAAAAAAAACTTTTTAAGAAATATTTAATACCACTAGCAAAACATTAAACGTTAAATCCTAAATCCTTGGATAAATCTTCAAACCTTGGATTAATTTTAAACCCTATGATTTATGATTAACCAAAGGTTTAGAATTTATCCAAGAGTTTAGGGTTTATGATTCCGGGGTTTAGTGTTTTACTAACATTATTAAAAATATTCCTTTTTAAAAAAGTTTAAGGTTTACAGAAGGGTTTTAAAGTTTAGGATTTAAGGTTTAGTGTTTTAATAATACTATTAAATTTTTTATTTTTTTTGGCAACTAATATTATTTTTTATTTACTTTTATCTTTAAATTTTAAAAACTAACTTGACAATATTATATTTATTTTTCAAAAGATATTGAATATAAAATAAAATAATCATGTTGGTTAGTGAACCTAGAGATTTAGTCTAAGAGGTGAATCCAAAAATTACTTGTATCTAACCTAGAGATCATGAAGAATTGTTTAAAGAGACGGCTTGAGTGACCTTTAAATCAATGACAGAACCTTCATTAAGCAGTTGTAAAGTACTTCAAATCATATTGTTCGCTGATGAATTTATGAGATTGATTCAAAGAAGAAACATCTTGCCACCTAACTTCTTTGAAACACATGGGACCTTTGTTAAAATTCATGCAATCAGTAGTACAACATTGCAACTAAAGACATTGGTCCTAAAACCCTTACTCAAGAGGGTCTTACAGAACAAGAAAATAAATAATCCAAAGAAGACAAAACAGTTTATAGTGTAGATGGGTTTATAGATGAACAAACCTTTGTTTATCTCTTCTGTCTCTTGTTACCACCACCAGCTTTGCCTCCACGAAACCCTCCTTTGAAATCATTCGTCGTCTCTGCAGTGTTCTGCTTGCTCAACCCTTTCCTCCCACCATGACCAAACTTAGAATCCCTAAACTCTCTCTTCTTATTATTCATCCTCGAAGCAGCCTTCCCTTTCCCTCCTGATCTATCACCAGGAGACACACCAGGCCTCTTCTTACCACCACCACCTCTCTGGAAACTCTTACCATTCCCAAACTCAAGATCAAGTTCTCCAGCTCCTTTCTCACTAAACCCACTCTGCTGCCTCTGTTTTCTCCACTTCTTGACAGACTCAATCTCATCCTTCTTCTGCTTAGCCCTCTCCTTCATCTTCTGAGACTGTACTTCCTTAGCCATCTTCTTGTTATCCCTAGCTTTCCTCCTCTCCTCCGTCTCCTCCATCTGTTTCTTCTCGTACAGAAGCTTAGACTTCACTTTCTCCATATGCGTATCCGACTTCACCATCTCCGCGTAGTAATCAGCTGGTCTGAGGAAAGGCAGCCCCATCTCTTGAAGCTTCCCGAAAGCTTGTCTTGTCCCTTCGAGGGCTTGAGTGTAGAAAGCCATCTCTCTAGCGAGGTCGTCGTTTACATCAACAGCTTGTCCCTGCTCGATCTCAACTGTGAGCTTGTGGGTCCAGTCAACATCTTCTGGCCAGCTAATGTCTTGAAGCTTATCAAGTAAACCATCTCTGTTGTATACAGCAGTCTTGGTCGGCTCAGTTAACTTCTCAGTGATTTCGTTTTCTGAATCGGAGTCTGATAAAGATTCTGCTTCAGAGTCAGATGCTGCACTGTCTTCATCAATCATGTTCATCTCATCATCTTCCACAAAATCATCTTCAAATGTCATCTGCTCCAAAATTTATTTAATAAAAACAATTATTACAGTAACAATCAGGTTCAGACAAAACATAACAACAATAATCAATCAAATCAAATATTCAGACACTTAATCATTACAAGGCTCGTCTTTGAAACTAGGGTTTCCATTGTCATCGAAACAAAGACTCGATAACTATTTTATGTTACATTGAATATCAATATCTAACGAAGAAAGATTGTAGCTTTACTAACCTTAGGCAAGTTCTATTACAAAAGAACGTTATTTTCGAGATACTAGGAAGATATACTCTTTGAATAACAGTCAAAGACAAGGAAAGTAACTTACAGTTAACGACGAGACACCACACGAAGAAGCTTGAAGAGAAGAGGTTTTAGAGATTTTTGAACGACGGCGCTAGGAAGAATAAGAAGAAGAAACAAAGGGTTTAACCTTTTTCTTCATATAATTAATTGAAAATACAGGACTATGTATATAATATTACTCTTTTAGGGAATTTTTGCAAAAAAGACCTCTAACTATTCAATATTCATTTAAAAGGCTAAATTTATTTTTTTGGTAACCAGAACGATCCTTTGATTTCATTTCAGTAAAATGTAAAACATGTTTTGAAATGGGAACAGAGTATATATGAGTGAGAAACAAAACTTTTGAGCCATACTCCAAACTCTAAACAAGTGACTGAACCAAACTCTGAATCTTGAGTTTTGCTTCTTCCATACCTTTCTTCTCAAGCTCTTCCACCAACATTTTGCAAGTGCTTTCTCTAGGAACCATTCCTTTCCGCATTGCCTCCTCAAAGAACAAGCACGCTTCCTCCACTTTCCCGCTCATACACAACCCTCTAATCAGAAGTATATACGTCGCCACATCGATACTAACATCGTTTCTCACCATGTGCTGCAACAAAGCTCCAAGCAGCTTCATCTTCTTCTTCTGGCAACACATCTTTAACAACGGAGCATAAGTCTCAACGTTTGGACTACAAAATCCCTCCTCCTCTTCCTCCTCCATCCTCTTAAGCAAACGCAGAGCCATCTCATCTCGCGAGTGATGAACCGCAGAAGAAATCATTGTGTTGTAAACCAAAACATCACGAGAAACTCCTTGTTTCGTCATGTCCTCAAACACCTCAGCTGCGTCCTTAAACCTACCAGTCTTGGATAAAATATGTATCAACGAGCTATAAAACTTCGCATCAGGAACACACCCATCTTCTTTCATCTTCTCATAAACTCCTAACGCTTCACCTACTTGTCTAGCTTTCCCCAAAGCATGCATCACAATAGTATAAGTCACCACATTAGGCTTACACCCTCTCTCCCGCATCTCCTCCAAGATCTCATCAACTCTCCTAAAATCACCTTCCTTACAATACCCCTCCACAAAGCTTGTGTAAGTAACAACATCAGGAACAAACTCAGCAACCTTCATCAAACCCATAGCATCATCAAACCTCCTAGCTTTACAAAACCCGTGAATCAGAATGTTGTATGTCCGAGAATCCGGCTTTATAGTATCCGAAAGCTTTAAGAAAACCTCATGAGCATGCTCTATACTATTCTCTTTCACAAGCGCATCCATCAAACAGTTCATAGCATTAGTATCTGTTCTCACATTATACCTCCTCTCCATCTCTAAAAACACATCAACAGCTTCATTATACTTCCCTGCTTTCGCTAACCTCCTCATAACCTTACTCATGGTATCAAGCGTCACAAGCTCTGATGACATCTCATCGAGTACTCTCCACATCGTATCGAAGCTTCTACACTTCCCCAACACGTCAACCATTGCGTTGTAGCTCAGAGGTGAATGGTTATAGTTAAAACCAGGTTGTGACTTAGCGGCCCAGATGAAAAAGGCGTAAGCTTGGTTCCAATTATTACTAAACCTTCTTAAAACTTGCAGAACAAGACTCTCTGAGACAACCACATCGCAACTACTTAACTCGTTGACGATATCTGTGTAAGAAGCGTCCTTTTTGTTGAGAAAGTCGCTGACTTTATCGATGTCTTCCGTTGGTTTCTTCGCGAGGTTTACCGGTGAGGCTTGGCTAAGCTTCTGGGTCTGGACCCAACCTGCCAGGGAAGGGATGACGAAGTCTTCATCGTCGGAGATAGGAGGTGAGGAAGAGGAAGACGGTTTGTTTGAGAGGAAGTCTTTGATCCAAGAAGGAAGCTCCGGAGACTCGGCGGTGAGAATCGGAGACTCGTCGGGATTAGAGAGAGTGTTGTTGGTTAAGAGAAACCGACGTTGACAGATTCTCCGAGGTATGGAAGACGAGACTCGGAGTCGGAGCTTCACGAGCATTTTTTTTTTAATCTAACGCCGTTTTGTCTCTGTTTTTTCCGATGGAAAGTTGACTGGGAACCTAAAGATTGCTGCTTTACGCCGGATTGGTTTCGGGTCGGGTCCTGGTCCAAGTTCGGACGGGTTTACGGTTCATTTTTAGTTTCCATTTCAGTTTTGGATGTTTTGGTTATTTACCTCACCTAAGCGTTCGGTTCGGTTCGATTCTAAAATGTAACCAAATTGAACCAATGTTCGAGAATGCGCTAATCCTTAGTCGGAGGGATCGGTTGGGCCTAGCGCCTAGAAAGAAAAACGGGGATTAAGTGGAGATTATACGAGGCGAAATTTTTAGACTATTTGATATGTTATAAGATATGTTAATCTTTAATTGTGTATAACATTAATAGATTTTCATGTTTAGAATTTTATAAAACATACAAATAGAATATATAAAGTTAATATGATATAATTTTCATGAAAATTATAATTTATTAAATTTTAGATTAAATAAATAGATAAAAATATTATTTAAAAAATAAAAAAAAAAGAAAAAAGAATAGATTAGGCAGTCATCTAGGTGATCTAGGCGGGTTAAAATCAGACGATCGATTTTCTACGGCGATTTGATATAAATCGGGGCGGAAGAAGGTCGCCTAGCGTCTAGGCGGCAGCTAGGTGACCGATTTTTAGAACAGACAATTGTACTAGATGAATGAAATTGGGCTTTGGGCTCAAGCCCAATAAAACGAAACTAAAAATAAAAGTCCACGTAGTTCGTCTTCTTCGTTTTGGATGTTTTGTTTTCTAAACCCTTCAGACTAAAGTCCAAGTAACCAGAAAATCAGAGGGACAAAAATCTATTATGGGACAAATGACCCAAAACTAATCTATAACAACCAAAAAAAATCTATCATAGACCAAAGGGTGTAAAATGACCATTTTACCATTAATGAGAGTTCAATGTGAACCATTAGATCATATAATGCGAGATGTAATCTGAGCCGTCGGATGATAAGAGAAATCTGGGTACAACTAGTATAACTCGTATAACTAAATATGTTGAAAAGTGATATAACTAGTATAACTGTTATATAAATGTTATAATTCATATACAATATGCAACTACTATAATTGAAACGACTAATAATCATGTTTTACATATAAAATAAACAAACATATATCCTAATTGGTATATGATGACAAAATTTCATCTATTTTATTTGAAGTAATCAACTTTTTATTAAATTATTATATTATACTCTTAATTTTACATTATATATATATATTATATTTAAGGTCTGTTAAGTTAATTAGCTATATTATTATGAAATTATTGGTACAACTTATAAAATTAAACATATAAACAATTGATATAACTTTTTATTATATATTAGACGAGTATTATTGGTACAACTGCTACAACTTGGACATTTCAAAAATTGACAAAACCAATTTGGTATTCCATATGAGAACACTATCAAATATCCAAAGTGGTATGTAGTCATAAATTTTTCTCCTAATATATTTGAAGTTTTGAAAAAAAATTGAAAGTTATTACACAACTCCATAAGTTTATATGATATACCTTATACTTTTAAGGTTTGTTAACTTCTTTGTCCACATATTTTTGGGAAAACATATATGAAATGCATTTTAACAAAATCAATGATTTCATTGTATTGGGCGAAGACATATATACACATAAAAATGTGGTACAACTGAGGTAAGTTTAAATTTCATGTGGTACAACTAGTTTTTTTTATTTCACTGCCAAAGTACAACTATGTACAAACCGGTACAACTCAAAAACTAGTACAACTATTTAAAAACGGGTACAACTTAAAAACTAGTACAACTATGTACAAACCGATACAACAAGTAAAACAAATCATTATCTAAATGAAACATTAAAAAAATAAACTGCTAAATATTTTTTTACGAATCCATGCGGGAAGATTAAACCATCATACTCATTAGTTTCACATCATCTTCTTTTCTAGCAATATTTATATGCTAAAAAAATCAAATTTCACCATATTAATTGTAAAGTTATACTAGTTATACACATTCTAACTGTAGTAGTTAGACATGTTACACTCAATCTATTTTACGGGACCTCTTAGGCAAGCTATTGTCCTTACCTTTTTACATTATATATCATTTGATGCATCACCTGCAATACAATATTTTGCTCAATCTCTTATCTTGTTTTCATGTTTATATCAAGAAAATATATCTTGGGAAAAGAAGCCTACCATCCAATGTTAAAACAACATATTTCAAAGGTTGGTACAATTAAACTAGTACTAATACTATTATTGTAGTTAAACTAGTTGTATTAGTCAGACTATTATTGTCGTAATCCAAACACCAAACATGCTTATATAACCTTTTGAACTCTTGATGGTTTTTGTGGCATCTTTTTGCTTACATTTTAACATATTTTGACAAATTCATGCATGGGAAGATTAGACCATCCTTTTCATTAGTTCTACATTTTCCTTGTCTATAACATCATTCACTAAAAACAAAAACCTTAATATAACCATATTAATTATAAAGTTGTACTAGTTATAGTTGTTCTAATTGTACTAGTTATACTCGTTGTAGTTGTACTAGTTATACTAATTTCAGTTGTACTATTTTTACCAGTAATACTTTGTGTTCTTCATTGTCAAAAATTTTGTATATTAAAAGTGAGATTCGATTTAATATGAGCGAAAATAGATTGAGAATGATGAAGAACTGGTTGATTTGGGATAAGAACGAAAATCTGTAAGGTTTGAAAATTTTTTAAAAAAAATTTTGATTCTGATTATGGAATGGAAAATTTTGGTCCAAAAATTTGTTAAAATGGAGAATTTAAAATCTGAATTCTTAAGTTTGTGAATCAGAAATGAAAATTGAATAATATGGAGGAGACTAAATGAATGATACTTAAGTTTTAGTTTGACTTTGATTTTTTAAAAGTGATGATGAAAAATGGAGATGAAGAACGTCAAAATAACGTTGGAGAAGAAGAAGAGATTTGGAAATTTAGGGATTTAGAATTGTTGAGTCGGGTTATTGGGTTTGGATAGATAGTGGTAGGATTGGTAAATAAATAGATCTTGCTGGATTTTAAGGACTTTTAGTGCATTTTTCTATTTAAAATTAATTCAAAAAAAAATTAAAATAGATAGTGGTCTATTTTAGATTTTTTGTCGGCCATTTGGTCTATATGAGCATTTGATCCAAATCGGACCAAAATCTATAATGAGACAATTGGGTAAAAAAAAATCTCTAACAACCAAAATTAATCTATCATGGACCAAGGGAGTGAAAATTACGTCTTTGCCATTAATGAAAGCTGAATCTCGGCCGTCCATTTTTTTCTAATCTCGGCCGTCCATTTTCTTCTTCCTTTCTCCTTCTCTCGCGGTTCTCTCTCGCCCAATTCCACCTGGGACCCAATAAAAATTAACTCCCCCCATCTTCATCTTCTTCATTACTTCAACCACCCACACGAAAATTCATTTCCATCACCAACCAAACTTATTTTCTTCAAGTTTTCATCCACAAACTTTTAGTTTTGTTTCTTAGGGTTCTTCTACAGCTTCAAACGCCTTGAAACAGCAAATGTGCCTCGCCCTCTCTTCCTAGCAAAGTGTATACTCTCTCCCTCTCCTTCCCTCTCACTCTTCTCTGCCTCTCTTCTTTTTTATTTGTTTTATGTTTCATTTTAGTCCCATAATATGTATGTTACCGTTATGAATTAGGTTCCAAGGTTAATATAACGTTGTTATAGTATGAATCATGATATTGTAAATTAAATCGTTTTTGACATTGGTATAACTAGTACAACTTTTAAGTCAAATTCATTAGGAAACAGTTACACTGGTAGAACTGACGTTGAGTAACACCAGTACAACTGACGTTGAGTAACACCAGTACAACTGACACGACTAATATTAGTAAACCTGGTACAACTTTTAAAAGTAACACTAGTACAACTGAGGGAACTAGTATTAGTGATATTGGTTATACGAAACGTAATACTAGTAAACCTGGTACAACTATGAGTAACAGTGAATAAGATTATGGGTAAAACTTGTATAACTCTTAATAGTCATTTGACAAGTCAACTTATTTTACCTAGTATAACTAGTATAACTTATAGTGACTTACATTAAATCAGTCTAACTGGTAATATTAGTATAAACCATATTTTAGTGACAGTAGAACTAGTATAACTGATATAACTTGTAAGTTGTAATGTTGGTTTTAACTCTTTTCAGGAACTATGGATGGTAGTGGAGCTGTGGTGATACATTTTGATCATGGTGAAGACCAAAATATTTCTACATTAGTGATGAAAGGAAAATATGAGGAGATAACTTATTCTCACTTGGTTGATAGAATAAGCAAGAAAATGAATATCGATGTAGCTGCGACGAAGATTCAACTGAGTTACTATCCCTTGGTCGTGAATAATAAGAGGCGTAGTTATATTTTGGAGGATGAAGATGTTTTAGGATATTTAATGGAGGTGGATAGGAAAAACCGGCGCAGTGTCTTGCATGTGGAGATTTCGAAAATCATCTCAGAAAATCAGAGTAACGAGCAGTTTTCTATGAACGAGGAAATTCAGAGTGATGCCAGAGCTAATGATGGTATGGTTGGAATTGAGGAGTTGGAAATTATTCCTCAAAACCAATCAGATGGATATAATCATGAGGAGTTGGCAATTATTTCTCCAAGACAATCAGATAGGTATGAGCATGAGGAATGCAATGAAGAGGGTGATGAAATGGATGATATGGAGGATTTACCGGCTGTCACACCATCTGTAGAAACAATTGTCAATGCTGAGTGGGATGATGGTATTGATATGAGTTTGTATCAAGAATTTACGAGTAAGGAAGAGTTGAGGAATTTAATAGATGCAGGAGTGCATTCGAATTGTTTTGAGGTTAATATAATCAAGTCGAATCGTATCGTTTACGTATTGAAATGTCGTGGGGTTGGATGCAGTTGGTATTTACGAGCTGCAAGGTTGAAAAATTCGGCTTTTTTCAGTATAAGAACGTATAGAAAGATGCATACGTGTACTCGGGGAGAGGGAAGTGTAACCA